TTCTTCTTGAGCCACTCCTTTGTTGCCTTGGCCGTGTGTTTTGGGTCATTTTCATGCTGGAATACCCATCCACGACCCATTTTCAATGCCCTGGCTGAGGGAAGGAGGTTCTCACCCAAGATTTGACGGTACATGGCCCCGTCCATCGTCCCTTTAATGCGGTGAAGTTGTCCTGTCCCCTTAGCAGAAAAACACCACCAAAGCATAATGTTTCCACCTCCATGTTTGACGGCGGGGATGGTGTTCTTGGCAGCATTACTTTTCCTCCAAACACGGCGAGTTGAGTTGATGCCAAAGAGCTCGATTTTGGTCTCATCTGACCACAACACTTTCACCCAGTTCTCCTCTGAATCATTCAGATGTTCATTGGCAAACTTCAGACGGCCCTGTATATGTGCTTTCTTGAGCAGGGGGACCTTGCAGGCGCTGCAGGATTTCAGTCCTTCACGGCGTAGTGTGTTAGCAATTGTACTCATGTCTCTTTCTCAAAACTTCTTGGTGACTATGGTCCCAGCTGCCTTGAGATCATTGACAAGATCCTCCCGTGTAGTTCTGGGCTGATTCCTCACCGTTCTCATGATCATTGCAACTCCACGAGGTGAGATCTTGCATGGAGCCCCAGGCCGAGGGAGATTGACAGTTCTTTGTGTTTCTTCCATTTGCGAATAATCGCACCAACTGTTGTCACCTTCTCACCAAGCTGCTTGGCGATGGTCTTGTAGCCCATTCCAGCCTTGTGTAGGTCTACAATATTGTCCCTGACATCCTTGGAGAGCTCTTTGGTCTTGGCCATGGTGGAGAGTTTGGAATCTGATTGATTGATTGCTTCTGTGAACGGGTGTCTTTTATACAGGTAACAAGCTGAGATTAGGAGCACTCCCTTTAAGAGTGTGCTCCTAATCTCAGCTCGTTATCTGTATAAATGACACCTGGGAGCCAGAAATCTTTCTGATTGAGAGGGGGTCAAATACTTATTTCCCTCATTAAAAATGCAAATAAATTTATAACATTTTTGACATGCGTTTTTCTGGATTTCTTTGTTGTTATTCTGTCTCTCACTGTTCAAATAAACCTACCATTAAAATTATAGACTGATCATTTCTTTGTCAGTGGGCAAACGTACAAAATCAGCAGGGGATCAAATACTTTTTTCCCCTCACTGTAACTTAATTAAAATTAAAATTATACTACAACCAACAAGATTGTAAGCATGTCTTTGATAGTTTGATGAATATGGTTGCTTAGTTACTATGCCCTGTTGTTTTCTTGTATGCAGTTACTATTGACATGGAGAAATGATGCCCTATGTTGAATACAGTAAATCAACACAGTGACCATACCAGAGGTGCGTTCAACAAGGCTTCCGTTTGCGAACGCTCGCAGCGAATTATGTTTCTTTTCAACAGATTTTTTTGATCTTCTTTTAACACGAACATTCCATTCCATTAGTTTTAGCTTCTCTTTCTGGTAAAACGATGGATAAACCATGTAAAATGTTGATTTTAGCTGCAACTTCTGCAATAATCTATGACTTTTTAGATCCTGGTACTAATGTCACAGAGTGACTACCGATTTTAATGTGTGTATCGAAAATAAAAAGTGAGCAGCCGATTGGAAGAGATTCAAGGGTTATGTGGAGGAGGAAGTCGTCCCTCGGTACAACGACTTTGCCTTTTTCGCTCATTTTAGGATGAGCCGAGAAACCTTTCAGGTAATTTGCATGTCTAGACGGTCTCTGTGTTTTGATTAAAGCAGCCTAAATATATTTGTGTCACATAAATTCTCAATGATGTAGCTTGCTAACGTTATCTGTAAGGAAGCACGAATGCACCCCAGCCGCTTAGTTAGTTGACCAACCAGACAGCTGGGTGGGTGGGGTGTACAGTCAACCAACCAGACGGCTGGGGTGTGATAGCTGACATAATCAATCAAATGGTTATTTATGTATATTAAGTATATTATTTATAAGACCCCTTATCTATCAACAGTTGGACAAAGGGCAAATAGCCTAAATAAATGTAAAAATGTTCAAGTACAATGTACAAAAAATTTACAATGTAGCCTACATTGTGAACAGTAAGCCTATAATAAACAATACATAATTGTATCATTGCTAATTGCCTCTGTCTTACACACAGAACAAAGGCAGGATAAAACTCTAAGATGACAAAATCCAATTTTGCTTTGTTTTTCAGATATTGTGTGAGGAACTCAACCCTCTGGTTCCATACAGAGGAGAACTACTGGAATACTGGATTGGCTTCCATTCTATTAGTCTTACTCTGAGTTACAAGGCCGGTGTGATAACAAGTTGTGTCTTATCTCTTGGCTGGTACATATGACTATAATGCTTCTATTAGGCTGGTTCAGTCGTGTGCTAATACGCTGCTCTTTATCGTGACCCATTTCTGCAAATACAGTATATTCCAGATAAGAGTTAGATAAAAGCCATCGCAGGGAAAAAATATAGTTTTTTAAAAGTCATGGCAGGATTCAATTTACATTTTTTTGGTTAATTTCAGTTTCATGCTGTCTGATGTTCATAGCTCATATAATCCGGAGAATTGGTAGCAATTTTCAGACAGAAAGTAGTGTAGGCAAAGTGCATAATGTTTTAGAAATGGCTGTGAGGTCAGTCACCACACACAAAACCGACTGTTTCAAATGGATTGACAGCTGGAATAGTCCAGGCCAAACAGTTTTAAAGGTTTTGGTGAAGCTGTTCAAGGCTCAGATGTCAGAGTTCATTGGGAGGAAAGAAATTGCTTCAGGGCTTTTTCTACTCATGTCTCTTTCTCAAAACTTAAGCAGTTAATATCAACATATGAGATTCTTATCCATTTCATCTGCTGAAGTCAGAGGATTTTCATTCCATTCCTGCCACCTGTACACAGAATAATCACTAGATTATATATTATTGCATTGTTCTGTGCCTGAATAAATAACACATGGGTAAAGTACCGCTGGGGTTCATTACAATGATGCTTCGTAGGCAGCTAATCTTTACTCAGAAGTTTCTGTGATTTGCAAAGAAAGTAAATAATCTCAGAAATTGTTTTATTATTTTGAAACACTTCATTTGTGAGCTCTACAAGTAAGACTTCAAGGTCTACAATTCCAAACATTAAAAAGCAGGTTATAATGAGTTGGCACCCAATGTTTTCACCCTGAGGAAGGCCCAAAGTACCAACGCACCAAAGACACTATAGTCCAAGAAAACATAATTTTAAAGCAGATATTCATAAACTCACATGTAAACAATGTTTGGCACTGGCGTTGTATCTGAGGAACATGACAATGATTTTTCATTTCAAATTTCATTTGAACTAAACTAAAACCAGTTTGGAATGCTGTGTGTTCATAAAGCCAAGGTAAACCAGTAAAAAAACTTAAAAAAACATTTTAAAACATTTCAGTTACATGCTGTAGATTTTAGTTCATAAGACCTTGTCTACTTCAATCTCACAACTGAATACTGAGCCCGTCAAATGTCATCTAACTATTCAAGTCTCCTTCACTGAGAGCAATTCAAGGCAATGCGGCAGTCCTGAGCTATACGATAATCAATTATTTTGGACTGGGCCAATGAATCACTGCAAGTAAACACGCAAACACACACCTCCACACACTATCACACACCCCCACACACACAAGCACACACCTTTGGACCAACAGCAGTGAGAAATTGAGCTAATCTTCCGCTGTTGAAGTGCATTTGTTCAAAGTCCTTCAGTAAGATAAGAATGTCAGAGAAGCACTATTCATTCAGCCAACTCATAATTTGTTCTATACTTGAGATTTATTCTATACTTGAGGCTGATGAAGGAATTAAGTCATTAGCATTAGTGTATTACCCATCTTTGGTAAAATTCAATGAATCGGCCCTCAAACACACACCGAAGAAAGAAGAGGTAGGAAGAGCATCACACTGTGGTGTCTGTCCCTGTACTAGTTTGTCCCCATAGTGATTACTGTTTACCTCACTGAAGCAAAGTAAGTTACAGTCTGACTGCCATTTAACCTGAATTGTATTCAAATTTTATTTTAAGAATGTATAGTCATTGCTAGAATACAAACCCATTTTACAGGTAGGCAAGTAGGAATCATGTATGTAGAGCACATGCCATTAGGTGTGACTCAACAGAAATAATGAGATGTTTCTTTAACCTTAGTATCAACTGGCCCTATAGTTATCCAATATGACCTTTAAACTTATAAGTAGTATTGTTTTTGTCCCACCTCAAATACCAAACAGTTGGCTCTGTAAAAGTTGTGCAACACCCCCACCAACTGGAAAGATAGCAGAATTACCCCAAGTCAAATTCTACTTCATTTGCTAGATTGCCTTGTGCAACCCATATTCCAAGTGATTTTAAACCGAGATTACAACATGTTATTTGTTAAGATACAAAATTCAAAAAGGCACTCGCACATCTGAGCCATCTCCGTTGCAGGTGCATGGTAACAGTTGAATAAGATGAGAAAAAAGAAGAAACCCGCACACTGCTCTTGCTAGTATCACTGCTCTTTAATAAGCTTTACGTATCGGCCTTAAGGCCTTCGTCAGAGCTTTTTGAAGGCCGATACGTAAAGCTTAATAAAGACCAGTGATACCAGCAAGAGCAGTGTGCGAGTTTCTTCTTTTTTCTCATTTGTTAAGATACAACCACACAAGCAAACAACCAAATCTTCCTTTAAACTGAGGCAAGTGGTGAAGTAAACAAAGATGTAAAAATCGATCACAATCCCCTCATCACCTCCCACCACTGCTACCAAATACCACTGCTATCAGGTAGGGAAGTAACCACAAGGCTTATCTCATCTCTGAAACATCTTTAGGTTTCATCCAGTGTATTTTCTCTATGAAATAGAGGCAGTAGCATACCAGACACAAAATACCTCTCAACTCCCACCATCTGTGGTTGCCATCTGAGCAGCCCTATGGTTTTGACCTCTCATCTAACTGGAAAATATTAGTTGTAAAGACCAGACTGGCACACCTAAATGTTACTTTCATAAGCCACACTCCCGCGGGAGCCCGGCCCCAGCATGGGTACAGACACCTCATCCCCTTCAGCACCCTTCTCATCCTCACACTTGGACATAGGGTGGATGGACACCTCAATGTTTTCAATGGCACCATCAACATCCTCTCTGCCGTATGCTGCTGGGCCCTGCTGCTCCGCTGACATCTGGACCACACAGGTTTTACCTCTCCCCTCTGTGTTGGCTGGCTCTATAGCCTTCTGGAGGCTTGTCGCCCCCACCGAGGGGTGCACTGTCTCCATAATCTCCTCCACAAAGGCCCTGCAGCTGAGGATGGTCTGGGGCAGTGGCACACTGCGGGCCAGCTCCTCCATGTGGCGGGCAAACTCTATTGTCTTGAGCTGGGTGACCTTGGCCCACTCCATTGTCTTGGCTGAGGTGATGATGGGGATGCGCTTGGCGATCTCGTAGGCCTTCTGGAGCTTCTCGGCTCCCTCGGTGCAGAAGAACTCATTGATGGCATTCTCAGTCTTCTTCAGGTGACTGCTGACCATGCAGAGGCGAGTGACATTGAGGACCATGGTGATGGTGAAGGCTATGAGGCACACGATGACGTAGTACAGGCCCAGGCCGCTGTGGGTGTAGGCCACCCGTAAGGTGATGGTGTAGTTGGAGGTCCCTGACGAGCTGGAGGCTATGCAGGTGTACCGGCCTCGGTCTTCAAAACTGACCGTTGTGATATTTAAAACGCCCTTGTCCTGAATCAGCCATTTCCCACCTTTCGGAAAGAAATCAAAAGTTTAAAAGTGCTTTTAATAATACAGTGTAAAGCAATTCATCAGACGTTGTAAAGGTTTCAGGTAACTAGAAGTTGATAGAGTTGGCTGTATGTATTACCTCCCTCTTCCTCATCCAGAATGTGCCCTTTGGAATTGTACCACTGAATACCGTCTAGCTTTCCAGTGACATTGCACTCAATCAGCGTGCTGGCTCCCTCTTTCACTACAATATCCCGGAGAGTAGGTAAACTGGCAAGGCGGTGCACGGATACCAGTGAACGGTTCTGTGTTCCACCTTTAGTGATCTCTTCTGCATGTCCAGAGGCAAAGAGTAGTGTGATGACAGTGCACGCACACTTTGTAATCAGTGTGTAACTGTGTGCTTGGGTATGTGACATGTTGGAGAGCAATACTATCTTCAGTTCACATCAAGGAAACCTGTAGAACAAGAGTGGGGGGGAGGGGTGAACAGGTGGCGAGGTAAATGCTATTGCAGCTAGTCAACATTTCAATCACAGCCAACCAAAAATCTATACATACACTGAGTATACAAAACATTAAGAACACCTGCTCTTTCCATGACATAGACTGACCAGGTGAAAGCTATGATCCCTTATCGATGTCACTTGTTAAATCCACTTCAATCAGTGTAGATGGAGGGGAGGAGAGGTTAAAGAATGATTTTTAAGCTTTGAGACAATTAAGAAATGGATTGTGTATGTGTGCCATTCAGAAGGTGAATGAGCAAGACAAAAGATTTAAGTGCCTTTGTTAGGTATACTTAGTGTAGTTGATCTACATCATAACCAATGATGGATCATAAATGTTTAAAAACAGTATTAGAAAACAAAGGAGAAAATATGCATAAAGTAATCAACAACTATGATACCGGTAGTAAGGTACGTTAGAAGGTAGCTAGCTAGCAAATGTCAGCTACATCTGTTGTTCAGTTAGTAAGCAAAAATGCCCCGATGGAGAATAATAATAGAACCCTAGATGCCACAAAACATCTTTGTTTAAAATCGACAATAAAAGGCATAACTACAGTAGCCAACAAAAATAAAATGAATAATAGCCTTAGTTTTGTTCTTTATCTACCTTCATCCACAAAAACAGCAGCAACTGGTGACTTCCGCATTCAGCACTGGGCGTGGTCAGAATCTGAAGAGACCAACGTAGCTCTCTTTTCTTCTTTGATGAGATTTAACGGCGGTTGGCATCCAATAAATGTTGCATTACCGCCACCTACTTCACTGGAATACAACTCCCTTTTACTTTGCTTGAAAAAACAAATAAATAAACAAATATGCTACACTCACAAAAACATAACACCCCCCTACTCCACTATTTAAATCTATTTAGTCCTACCTCAGGCCAACAACCTGAAAGAATGGGACACACCTGTAACTCTTCTGATGTCAAGTCTCGCACACCTAAATACCTCACTGCAGCTGCCACCACAACCTCAATTTTCTGCGACTTACTTTCATCCCTGCAGTACAGTTGATAACCATTGCTATAAATGCAAAAAATCCCAAATTACTTAAACATATATCACTTGTTTGGCCTATCCCTCTGTACTGGTACAGATCTACTACTCACACCACTCCTCTCAGGATCCCTCCCCATTTACCCATATTCCTCTACTTCCTTCATTGCCTCAGCATATGACAACTTCTGCGCTACTCTAATCCTGGAAACCTCAACCTGCCTCTCTCGCACCGGACATTTCTGATCCCCAGCCCCATGGGCACCCCCACAATTAACACATACCACTACTTTCCCCAATGCTACACATTCCTTTGTCTCATGCACTTCTGCACACTTCTCACACCTAGGAACCTCCCTCCTACACACTGCTGCCACATGCCCATAAGCATGACACCTGTAACAACGTAATGTATTCGGCACAAAAGCTCATACAGGAAAACTTATATATTCTAACATCACTTTGTCGGGCATAGACTCAACATCAAAACACAAAAGAACAGACAACGACTCTTCTGTTTCACCACTCATGCCACCCCTTCAGTTGGTCAACTTTTACATTTACTGGTACCCCAGTAATCACTCCTTTCAATGGCGCCCTTTTCTTGAGAGCAAAATAATTCAAATCTCTTGTCCCCATTCGTTTAACGCAGAGCGCCTGCTCCCTCTGACCAGCAGAAACACAAACAATTATCACAAGACCACTTCTGGTTACCCTCACCGATTCCACAGCAACCTAACTGTTTTCACTCACCCTGAAACCACAAACGGATCAGCCAAAAGGCAAGGGTCCACTTTCTCCAAAAACTTCACTTTTACTGTCACAGACTCATCTTCATCCTGACCCTCGGTGCAAACCTCGGGCTCCGAGAACTTCACCACACCTACCACCGCCGATACTTCGCCCTCATTCACTTCCATTTCTCCTTCTGTCTTCAGCTCACTCTGCTGACACTTTCTACCATTCTTCTTTAACAAACTATCTCCCTTTTTTGCCACCATTTTTAACCAACTCAAGCTCACCCTCTTCCCCCCTCTCTCTCTTAGACATCCTCTGCCTCTCTTTTTCACTCCATTCCTCCTCCGTATTCCAAGTATACATCTCCTTAAGATAATACTGCACTTCTCCTGACATACATCTTGTTCTTGCCTCAAATGACGCCATTTAACCGGCTGTCACAATCTCTGTACAATCAGCACCGTATCTCTCTCTAACAGTGATCTTCTTCTTCTTCTTTAAGTTTTATTGGCGAATCGCAACCAACTGACAGGTGCATACACCACCACCTACTGTACTGGAGTGTGAGGCCGGTCGCGACCTATGCCTTCGGAAAGTATTCAGACCCCTTGACTTTTTCCACATTCTGTTAGTTTACAGCCTTATTCTAAAATTGATTAAATTGTTTTTTTACTTAATCAATCTACACAAAAGTTCCCATAATGACAAAGCAAAAACAGTTTTTTTGAAATTTTTGATAATTTATTTAAAATAAAAAACTGAAATATTACATTTACATAATTATTCAGACCCTTTGCTATGAGACTCGAAGTTGAGCTCAGGTGCATCCAGTTTACATTGATCATCCTTGAGATACTTTGTTGAAGCACCTTTGGCAGCGATTACAGCCTTGATTCTTCTTGGGTATGACACTACAAGCTTGGCACACCTGTATTTGGGGAGTTTCTCCCATTCTTCTCTGCAGATCCTCTCAAGCTCTGTCAGGTTGGATGGGGAGCGTTGCTGAACAGCTATTTTCAGGTCTCTCCAGACATGTTCGATCAGGTTTAAGTCCGGGCTCTGGCTGGGCCACTCAAGGACATTCAGAGACTTGTCCCGAAGCCACTCCTGCGTTGTCTTGGCTGTGTGCTTAGGGTCATTATCCTGTTGGAAAGTGAACCTTCGCCCCAGTCTGAGGTCCTGAGAGCTCTGGAGCAGGTTTTCATCAAGGATCTCTCTGTACTTTGCTCTGTTAATCTTTCCCTCGATCCTGACTAGTCTCCCAGTCCCTGTCGCTAAAAAACATCCCCACAGCATGATGCTGCCACCACCATGATTCACCGTAGGGATGGTGCCAGGTTTCCTCCAGACGTGATGCTTGGCATTCAGGCCAAAGAGTTCAATCTTGGTTTAATCAAACCAAATCAAATGTTATTTGTCACATGTGCCGAATACAACAGGTGTAGACCTTACAGGGAAATGCTTACTTACAAGCCCTAAACCAACAATTTTTTAAATTAATTTGACCTTTGTTTAACTAGGCAAGTCAGTTAAGAACAAATTCTTATTTACAAGGACGGCCTACACCGGCCAAACCCGGAGTCAATGTGTGGGGGCATAGGTTAGTCGAGGTAATTGAAGTAATATGTACATGTAGGTAGAGTTAAAGTGATGATGCATAAATAATAAACAGAGAGCAGCAGCAGCATAAAAGAGGGACAATGCAAATAGTCTGGGTAGTCATTTGATTAGCTGTTCAGGAGTCTTATGTCTTGGGGGTAGAAGCTGTTAAGAAGCCTTTTTGACCTAGGCTTGGTGCTCCGGTACCGCTTGCCGTACGGTAGCAGAGAGAACAGTCTATGACTAGAGTGGCTGGAGTCTTTGACAATTTTTAGGGCCTTCCTCTGACACCGCCTGGTACAGAGGTCCTGGATGGCAGTAAGCTTGGCCCCAGTGATATACTGGGCCGTACGTACTACCCTGTGTAGTGCCTTGCGGTCGGAGGCCGAGCAGTTGCAGAGGGAGGTGTTTAGTCCCCGGGTCCTTAGCTTAGTGATGAGCTTTGAGGGCACTATGGTGTTGAGTGCTGAGCTGTAGTCAATGAATAGCATTCTCACATAGATGTTCCTTTTGTCCAGGTGGGAAAGGGCAGTGTGGAGTGCAATATAGATTGCATCATCTGTGGATCTGTTGGGGCGGTAGGCAAATTGGAGTAGGTCTAGGGTTTATAGGATAATGGTGTTGATGTGAGCCATGACCAACCTTTAAAAGCACTTCATGGCTACAGACGTGAGTGCTATGTGTCGGTAGGCATTTAGGCATGATACCTTATGTTCTTGGGCACAGGGACTATGGTGGTCTGCTTGAAACATGTTTGTATTACAGACTCAGTCAGGGACAGGTTGAAAATGTCAGTGAAGACACTTGCCAGTTGGTCAGTGCATGCTCGGAGTACACGTCCTGGTAATCCGTCTGGCCCTGCGGCCTTGTGAATGTTGACCTGTTTAAAGGTCTTACTCACATAGGCTACGGAGAGCGTGATCACAGTCGTCCGGAACAGCTGATGCTCTCATGCATGCTTCAGTGTTGCTTGCCTCGAAGCAAGCATAGAAGTAATTTAGCTCGTCTGGTAGGCTCGTGTCACTGGGCAGCTCGTGGCTGTGCTTCCCTTTGTAGACTGTAATAGTTTGCAGGCCCTGCCACATCCGACGAGCGTCAGAGCCGGTGTAGTACGATTCAATCTTAGTCTTGTTTTGACACTTTGCCTGTTTGGTAGTTTGTCTGAGGGCATAGCGGGATTTCTTATAAGCGTCCGGGTTAGAGTCCCTATCCTTGAATGCGGCAGCTCTACCCTTTAGCTTAATGCGGATGTTGCCTGTAATCCATGGCTTCTGGTTGGGGTATGTACAGTGGGGAAAAAAGTATTTTGTCAGCCACCAATTGTGCAAGTTCTCCCACTTAAAAAGATGAGAGAGGACTGTAATTTTCATCATAGGTACACGTCAACTATGACAGACAAATTTAGATTTTTTATCTCCAGAAAATCACATTGTACGATTTTTTATGAATTTATTTGCAAATTATGGTGGAAAATAAGTATTTGGTCACCTACAAACAAGCAAGATTTCTGGCTCTCACAGACCTGTAACTTCTTCTTTAAGAGGCTCCTCTGTCCTCCACTCGTTACCTGTATTAATGGCACCTGTTTGAACTTGTTATCAGTATAAAAGACACCTGTCCACAACCTCAAACAGTCACACTCCAAACTCCACTATGGCCAAGACCAAAGAGCTGTCAAAGGACACCAGAAACAAAATTGTAGACCTGCACCAGGCTGGGAAGACTGAATCTGCAATAGGTAAGCAGCTTGGTTTGAAGAAATCAACTGTGGGAGCAATTATTAGGAAATGGAAGACATACAAGACCACTGATAATCTCCCTCGATCTGGGGCTCCACGCAAGATCTCATCCCGTGGGGTCAAAATGATCACAAGAACGGTGAGCAAAAATCCCAGAACCACAAGGGGGGACCTAGTGAATGACCTGCAGAGAGCTGGGACCAATGTAACAAAGCCTACCATCAGTAACACACTACGCCGCCAGGGACTCAAATCCTGCAGTGCCAGACGTGTCCCCCTGCTTAAGCCTGTACATGTCCAGGCCCGTCTGAAGTTTGCTAGAGTGCATTTGGATGATCCAGAAGAGGATTGGGAGAATGTCATATGGTCAGATGAAACCAAAATAGAACTTTTTGGTAAAAACTCAACTCGTCGTGTTTGGAGGACAAAGAATGCTGAGTTGCATCCAAAGAACACCATACCTACTGTGAAGCAGGGACCAGGACGACTGATCCGTGTAAAGGAAAGAATGAATGGGGCCATGTATCGTGAGATTTTGAGTGAAAACCTCCTTCCATCAGCAAGGGCATTG